ACACATCACGCTCGTTCCTAGACGATGTAGTACCACTGCTGTGCTGTGCACCTCTCTACACTCATTGTGGGCGAGAGGGTGTGTCGCCTCTGCTGCTGCTGCTGTTGCTGTTATCTGAAGCGGTGACGGAGAAAGCGTCCTGTTCAAACAATGTGTCACGAGTCGCTAGCACGCAGGGTAGAGGTCTCAAGTGTGTAAGCAGTAAGTACGTAACAGCTCCCGTTCACGGCACGGTTTATGGTGCGAGGAAGGGGATTATTGCTCCTGACAGGTGTTCGCTCATGCAACGATGCACACACACTGACCTCTTCTTGTGCAATCGAACGACTGTACCGAGTGCGATGAGTAGTGAAGATACTCGTACCAGCTGTAGTAGCCGATGTAGTGTCGGAGCAAAGGCCTCCTTGTGGATGTTGTGGTCTTATTCTTTCAGTTCAAGCTCAGGATGGTAGCTTGGTTGTGAGCAGAGGAGGGCGAGTCCGGACAGCTCTTGCAGAGGCTCCGCAGAATGCGGCCAACTACCTCTGTGGGGGTGTACTTGCGGGACAATGAATGCCTCGAACCGTAACATCCCCCCTAGTATATTATCAACTCATAATATACTAACGCCTCATCGTGTACTTGTAACCAATGCAATGGCAGAACCGCAGGATTCTCCATCAACCGATATGCCTCGAAAGGGAACTATCCACCCGATACTTCACGCCGCCATCTCGTCTCTCTCTTTTCTCTGAGGGACAAACTTTCGACAAACCCTCTCGTGAAGTTCGTTGGCATGGAGAGCGATCTCCATGCCAGTGGAATAGACCGACATACCGCCACTGGCTACAAGCGTTATCACAATCATAACAGCGATTGCGACCAAGTCCTCCAGGACCTACCAGTCCACGCATGCCCGCTTGCAAACAATGAACACACCAAGCCACCATCGACTCGGTACCGCCTACCGAGTAGGGACAAATACATACCCTCCGCAAGTAAACCCATTAACCACGACTGAGCCTCAAAAAACCTACTCCTCCGACAGCACCGCATTTTCCAAGGCCCCACAGTTTCCGATATCCCAACAAACCCACAAGGCGATTGCTTCCCCCCAACTTGACATCACGACACAAAATAATCCACACGATACACGGGCTAATGTCCCCCCATCCCAACATGCACGAATCAGCAGCAACTGGTGCGGTGACGACGATCTTCAGTGAAGACAACGTTCCAGCTCCTGACGCGTCAACTCCTCCCAGTTCTGGTTACTGTAACGCACACGCCAGTAGCGGTCTCGNCCCAACATGCACGAATCAGCAGCCACTGGTGCGGTGACGACGATCTTCAGTGAAGACAACGTTCCAGCTCCTGACGCGTCAACTCCTCCCAGTTCTGGTTACTGTAACGCACACGCCAGTAGCGGTCTCGGTGACCAAACACTTGTCCTTGGAGCTTTTGCCCTCCGCCAAAGTCTTTCTGGGAAGTGAAACCTATTGGGTAGATAAGCAGGGCTTCACGGGGGGACAACGGTGCACGCGGTAGGGAGCGTGGGGTAAGTTGAGACGCCAATTCAGGATAGTACAGATGCCATAGAGCAATGAACCCGTCTAACTGCAAGCGTGTGAACGTGCGGAGAAGCTCAGGTTCCGACAGCCACACGGACTCTACACCAGTCTGTGATATGGCTCTGTACTCCCACACCAAGGCACCGGTAGGTGAATGCACACGACGACAGTCAGAGAGGGAGACAAACGTCCCTAGTTCAGGTGGCTCGACAGGTGCTGCAAAATCAGGGCCCCACGCGAACTGCATGAATTCCTCGGCAATAGAATGTCTCAAATGGGGTGGGCGAAGATGAAAGAGTTTCAACTCGGCCGTGCAAACTCTCCGCGAACGCAGCTTTCTACCCTGCATCTTCACTTGCACGCTCAAGCCCCTCTGCAAAACTTCTTCTACTGTCCAAGGGCCGGTGTAGAGGTCGTGCTGCAACTTCCGGCCCCGCTTGTCTCGGTGACGACTGCTGTCGGCTTCGCGCACCATAACCAAGTTGCCTTTCTCTACCGTTACCGACGCCGTACTCCTCGAAATATTGGCGTTCGACTTGGCCCTTGCTGCTACCCGCAGGTCGTGGCGCTTCTCGAGCACCAACCGAACTTCCCGAAGGTTCTGGTTGCGCCGTTCAACGAAGTTGTCCAAACCTCCCGAAGGATCTTCGTTACCCTCGTCTGAAAGCGGCACCAGCGAGTCCAACGAGGTGCGGGGTTTACGACCGAACAACAGTTCAAACGGGGTCATGTGCGGGTGAACGGAAATGTCTGGCAGCGTGCGCTTAATCCAGATGGCAGGCGATACATACTCATCCCAACGGTCGTTCCAGCATTTGCACAGCTCTGCCAACAGCTCTTGCATCCAGCCTCCTAGCCTCTCAACTGAGCCTTGCCCTTGGGCATGATCTGCTACTCCAAAAGCGATATCCGCCTGTAACCACCGGCACAGGTGAGTCACTACTTCTCCGCCGAAATCTTTACCGCCATCGCAACGAATGGTTTTGGGGACGCCGAAAGTTAAACACAGTTCCAACAACGCTCTAGCTACTCCTATTGCTTCCTTGGTCGCAAGAGGGAAACCAAAAGGGAATTTGGATGCACGGTCTACCACAAGCAGGATGTACTTGTTACCAGACAATGATGTCGTGTCAATTTTGAGTACGTCAATCTCAAGTTCATCCCAAGGTTCCAATGGTCTCCCTGGCAGCATCGGTACGCGTCTACTAGTGGGCCTTTTGCGACGTCTGCAGCTACACGACAAAACGTACTGACGGACATCTCGTGCGAGTTTAGGCCAGTGAAAGTGATCCCGAATTAGTGCTAAGGTCGCTCCAACTCCTGGGTGTCCATGTAATGTGCGGACCAACGCTAGGATGTCGGCCACCATGCTTTTGGGGGTCGCTATTACCAGTTTTCCTTTCTCAAACTCGAACCGTAGCACTCCCTTATCATCCAAACTGTATCCTGCTTCACCACTCCCCCCTAGATCCCGCCGAACCTGGCCCAAAAGGGCATCGTCTTGCTGGCGCCGAATAAGCGTGTCCGGGTTCTTCAGCACTCGTAGCGCCCTGTGAATTGCCGTCGACCCCGTGTCTACCGCTGACCGAAAGGGCAACTCCCCCCCTGCTGAAAGCACCTCCTCCACGTCGGCGGACCTTGTGCACTCGAGCTGCACCGGCTCCGGTGGATGAGCCGGGGGTAGCTCGATGGGCTCAGGTGCGGACGCGCGTTGTAGCCTAGCTGATAACACCTGTGCCACGGTAGGCAGCTGAGGGTCGTTGAAGGGTTGCAGGCGTACTGAGGGCGTGCATCATCTGCCTGAGCGACGTGGTGGCGCAAGTTCATCGAGCGAGGCACAGGCAGCGAACGGGAAGTCAGCCAATAGTGGTGCTATGACCGCGGGATCAATCTCACCATCGGTATTTACGGGCTCGGATTCGTCCTCGGTCGTGAGGTCCGCGAGACGCACACCATCAAGCACAGGGCCTTGCGGGCCAACAAAAGTAGCGGAATCCGGGGACGTGAAATCGTCAGGAAAAGAGTCGTCTACATCTACGGAGGGGCTACTGGCGACGGGGAGACGGGACAGAGCATCTGGCAACACGTGATGTACTCCTGCCCTCCATTCTAGTCCTATGTCGTACTCCATGAGGCGAAGAGCCCATCTATGCAACTTGGGACAAAGCTCTCTACTACGAAACAACCACGTGAGTGCAGAGCAATCCGTCACGACTTTGAACTGTCTACCAGCTAGGTACGGCTTGAAATGATCAACGCCCCACAATACTCCCATGCATTCCCGTTCCGTGGGTCCTCGTCGAGCGTCGGTGCGAGAGAACTTGTGGCTAGCGAAAGCGATGATCCTGGGTGTACCGTCGATGGTCTGCAGCAGGGTAGCACCTGCGCCCACTGAGCTAGCGTCTGAGTGCAGCTCAAAAGGTGCATTAGGATCAGGAAAAGCTAACACGGTAGGGGAAGCCAGGCACTGTCTTAGGTGGTGGAAGGCGTGTTCCTCCGCTTGCCCCCACTGAATTGGGAGTTTACGTGCGCGCTTAGACGCAAAGTCTTTATTGCGGAGGATGTCGGTCAGGGGAGCCGCAACTAAACTGTATTTGAGGGACAAATTGTCGGAGATATCCCGTCAAGCCTAGAAACGTGCGGAGGTCTTCGACCGTTTGTGGCCGGGGCATGTTGGCAATCGCTTCGAGTTTCGACGGGGCTGGGTGCATGCCGGTAGCATCAATTATCATTCCAAGAAACTCTTGGGACGAAGCCCCAAAAATGCATTTCGGAAAGTTAACGGACAGTCCAGCAGCACGAAGGCGTGTTAGAACGAGCACCAATGCAGCGAGGTGTTCTTCCCATGTTTCGTTTGCGACGAGTATGTCGTCCAACCAGCTGAACACGCCATCGACAATTCCTAAAGCAGACTTCACTCGACGCGTAAACGCGGAAGGTAGAACTGTTAGTCCGAAACCCGCACGGGTAAACTCGTACAACATGCCGTCTGCGTCACGGAAGGCTGTTTTATACCGATCCTTTTCGGCAATTTCAATTTGATGAAAGCCCGACGCTAGATCGATCTGAGTGAAGTACCGCTTGCCTTTCAGTCCATCGAATATGGTTTGCATATCTCCTAGCCCGCCACTGTCGGCTACCAGAAGCTTGTTCAACACCCTCCAGTCAATACACAGTCGCATAGTTCCATCTTTCTTCTTGACACACAAGCATTGAGCTGCCCAGGGTGACATGGAAGGCCGAATGATACCACGATCCAGCAACTGTTGGATCTCAGCCCTAATCATGCGTCTCTCCTCGGGTGAAAAACGGCGTTGTTTGGCTGCGTGAGGTGTACAAAACTCGTCAATCAAAGGAAGCTCCAACTCAGTGCCGCCGCATGCTGCCACTCTCTTAGGGTCGATCGGGAATAGGCCCTCCTCAACGAACGTTGCCAGAACCTCGACCAACTCCTGCTTCTGTAGCGCTCCGAGCTGGCCCATGTTAGCGTCGGCCGCCCGTACAGTGGGTGGCGAGGCCGCGGAGGTCTCGTCGCTCGTGTCACGGGTGGGCACAACAACCGGGTCAGGGAGTGGAGGGTCAACAGTGGACGGGGTATCGTCGAACAAAGAGTCGAAACGGCCACGATCGCGGACATTGAGGGCGATCATCCTGGCGCAAATGCTACCGTTAGTGACCTCGACGACCTGGGCATCGCGGTTCACCAACTTGCAGTACACCGGTGTTCCCGGCGTCCACCACATCACTGCCCGCGCAATCCCCACTGTGGCTCCCTTCTCTAGGTCGAACCGTTCCGTGGGTAACACCATCACCAACTGCCTGTCCTGTGGCCGAGGGCCTATCGCTACAGTCTGCATCGCGATACTAGTGAACCCTGATGACATCCGCGAGCCCAGGACCAGGTCCCATTCCAGAGTGCTGTCATCCTCCCATGCGACGTCACGATAACTGGGCAGCTCGGGCAGCGGGGCAATGTCGGACAGGTTAGTGTCGCGTTGCGGGTCGCATGTCAAGAGAGCAAAACGATCGCGTGCTGCTGAGAGCGATGACGGTTGGGCAGGGTGGTCTACCGGCCTCGACAGGAACGGTACGAACGGCGCGTCAGGCGTGGGTTGAAAGCCTTTGCCTCCTCCAAAATCAAGCGTGCTCTTGTTGCGTCGAAAATATTCAGCTCCGATGATAATACCGTACGGGAGGTCCGGTACTACTCTGGCAGTGACGAACCGTAATTGAGAGTCGTCTTGGAACATGATTGGGATCGTGACATGTCCGAGAATGCGCATCGGGGGCACGCCACTTTCCGACGGATTCGCTGCTTCCAACGCTCCCGCCGAACGTCTGTCCAACCTGCACCTCGCTAAGGTACGTACGCGATACCAAAGGTCTAACGAAATGTAGTTGCCCCCGCCCGCCCCGGTATCAAGCAAAATATCCACTGGGTACGACTTACGTCTACGCCCAACTCGTCCGATCTCACCACGTATCCACAACTGATCGCCGGTGCAGTGCTCCGCCTTCGCGGACCCAAGGTGCCCCGGGTTGGCGAGACCCGGGTCCTCGTTTCACATCTCGGCGTCACTCCGAGGTCCCAGCGGGATGTCCCCTGCCATCATCGCCACCTGATGCTCGCCCGACACGTGAAGCTCGAGTCCCATGGCGACGGCCGTGTCGTAATGGGCGGGCGTCAGCGCGGCTACGACGCGGCGCGTGTGAGTAGCCGCACGGCTCGCCGGGCGTGGTACGTCCTTGTAGAATGACGATGGCAGTAGGTCGTGTCGCCATCTGAAACGGCCTTGTCGACGGCACGCCGAGAACACGTGGGCGTAGCAGATCCCATGTTCCATGAGGTGGTCGAGGATCACGGACCGGGGCGCAGTCACCGGCGGGTGTGTCACAGCGGTGGCCGTGGTGGCGGCCGTTGGTGGCGTTGTCGCTGGTGCGGCCGTCGATGACGGTGCTTTGGCGGTGAAAGGAACACCGTGCTGGCCGGGCGTGCTGGCCTTGTGGTTCTGGAACGCTGCCACGGCAACCGACGAAGGGGACTCTGGGGCAGCAACGGGCGGCGCTACGGCGGCAACAGAGTTTAGCCAAGTGGGAGGCGGCGGCCGGAGGGGCGCGCTGCCTCCCGACACGGTGAGTGGTATACTCGAGTTGTACGACGCCAAGCCATCTGCGGTGAACAGCTGTCGATATTCGGGCATCGACAGGTGGCGAGGCGTAGGGTTAGCCGCACAGAGGCGATCCTGCCCGCCCGCGCGGGTCGGTTTGCGGGGCGTCGTCGGGGTCATGTATGGCTTCGAACGCGCGCTCAAAACGGCTACAAACTCGCGGAACAGGCTCTCAGCTACCTTGCCACGGTGGCTCATGTGGTCCCCCATGGGGTGGTGCGACTCTTGACGCAACTTCTGTAGGGTGGTGCTGACAGAATGTATGCGTTCATGTAGCAGCCCGTTGACCCCGGCTCTGTCAACCGGATTCGGCAAGAGTACCTCGGTGACGCGTTCGAACAAGGCTATCATCTGCACTGCCGAGATATACCGCCAGAAAAACCGCTGTTCAGTGATGTGGGGCCGGTCAGGATCTACCAATGTGGCGCGAAAGGCTGCTAAAACGCGGGCTGCGGCGGTGGGCATGGATTCGGGCGTACCGAGCATCATAGCCTGCAACGCGGCATTAGCGTACTCAACCGCACCCCCCGTCAAGGCATGTTCACGCACAATGAGACGCAGCCAGTGGGTAGCCGTTACACTGTCGCGTGGGGTGTCTACTACTTCTCCTGTTATGCGATACACTTGTACGGTGTCAGCCGAAGTGATTTGGTTGTGCGTCAACAGGTGTTCGTGTAGTAGATCGGTAAGCAACTCCCTGCGCCGACCGGTGTGAACGTCTGGTTGTGTTGCCCAATACCCGTTTAGAAATACGTCCGGTTCAAGCGCGATCACTCCAGAATCGAGAGTACGAAGAACACTCATGACTTTTTGCTGAAGCCTTACTGCACAATTGTTGATCGACAATTCCCCCGGGCCTGGCCCTGCGTACACTGGACCCGATACTTTGTCCGCAACTCTCTTACGGGCTCTCTCAATCACTTTCGACATCTGGTTGGCTTCTGCACCGAAGGGCTTACCAAATGAACGTGGGAACTCGTGGGTGGGTGCTCGCGGCTCTTGGACCGGAGTTGGATACGCAGCACCCCGTCCGTTTAGAGCCGCTGGTGCAGCCCCTGCCGCTCCTCGATGTACCTCGGCTGCTGGGGCGGCCCCTGCAGCGCCTTGGCGGTCCACGCGGTTGAAAGCACCGGGAAATGGACGGCGTGGTTCCAAGCCGCGCTCGTTGCCGGTGTCGCGGTGGCCGCGCGGGAGGCCACGCGACTGGGTGTACTCCGAGGAGTACACACGGCGCTGGCTCCGCCTGGGTGGCGGCGAGCGGGAGTGGTGCCGTGCATACGACCGCGAGGGAGAGCGGCGCCGTTTGCTCGAGCGCGAGGGAGAGCGACTCCTCCGGCGAGAGCGCGAGGGAGAGCGACTCCTCCGGCGAGAGCGGCTGCGGGCGCGCGACGAAGAGCGACGCTTCGGGGGGGAGGAGCTCTTACGGCGAGAGTGGCTACGGGCGCGCGAGGGAGGGCGTGCCCACCTCGCCGCCCTCTCCTGTTCCCTACCGCGAGGGCGTGAGGAGTGTGGAGAGCGTGCGTTCTTCACCCTCTCCGACTGCTCCCGACTGCGAGAGCGCGAGCGATCCTGGTTGCGGCGATCGGTAGAGCGAACGGGGGAAGGCATCTGCGTACCAAGAGGAAAAGAAAGGAGAAGGGAACGGGTACGCGCGAGGAAACAGTTAGGAGTGAAATTAGTGAGATAATGAGCGACCAAGGGTGTGGTGACAACCTTCCGACGTATCGTATGGACGGTAAAAACGAGCGGAAACATGTTGCTACAAGACGCAGCCGACAAACGTGGGAGAATATTAAGTCTAAATATCGGTGAGTGAAAATACGTGCAGCGCAGCAGGTGACAGCTTAATGCTCTCAATCTGCTCAGGTAGCATTCGCAACGTTTGCCAACTGGAGGGAGAAGCGACGACGGACAAAAAACAAAAAAAGCAAAAACGAAGGGATTAACAAAGGTCAGGGTCAGTAACCAGCCACGGGATAAGAAATGGAAATAGTAAGAAAAATCTATTAATAATATAGGCTAGTAAAGGAACAAGAGAAAAAAAAGACAATAAACATACTAAAAGAAGGGAAAAAAAAACACATTGGTGACCACCGTTGGAAAATATTACTAAACAATGATGGAAATAATAATAAATAAAAGAGAAGAGAAAAAAAAAGAAAAAAAGAAAACTAATGACAAAGAAGAGAACAAAAAAAAGGACGAAATGAAAAAAAAAGAAATAAAAAAGAAGAGAGAGTGGCGTCCCATCCGGGAATCGAACTCGAATTTTCACAGCAGAACAAACAAAATTATACTTGTGTTGTAATACCGCACAAAGGCCGCAATAAAATAGAAAGTAGATAGCAAAATAAGGAAACAAGGAAAAAAAAAATTACCGAGAGTGGCTTCCAACCCGAGAATCGATCTCGGGTTTCCACAGCAAGTACAACAAGAGTACTCTAATAATACTAATGAAGGAAGACGCATGTATCGGCGTTAACCTTCTTCACGGAGTCTTCAGACGGAGTAATGATAGATGGGACGAGTTAACCTACATGGTACAACATCATCACTCCAGCTGATCGTCGTACAACGCTTGTTGAACAACACAACGCGTATAAAAAAAAAAAACACGGCCTGGTCGTCGTACAACGCGTGTTAATAATCACAAACACGCGTGATAAAAAACACAAGAGTTTTCCGACGGAGTAATGATCGATGTGGTCCATACTAGTATAGTCTAGGAAAGCACGTACGAGCAAACGGGTGTACACGCAAACCACAGCGGCCGGACGGCGTACGGGCATCGAGAGCAAACGGGAACAACACCTGGCCTGGGAGNAGCAAACGGGTGTACACGCAAACCACAGCGGACGGACGGCGTACGGGCATCGAGAGCAAACGGGAACACCTGGCCTGGGAGACTGCGACACACAACACAACTGCTGGCTGCCCCTTCTTTCCATGCGATCACGCTCAGTCTCTTTTCGCTCTTTTCATCAATCATTGGCTTTCTCGAGTAGGCGGCAACGGTAAAGACGGGTGAGGCANAAACGGGTGTACACGCAAACCACAGCAGACGGACGGCGTACGGGCATCGAGAGCAAACGGGAACACCTGGCCTGAGAGACTGCGACACACAACAACACAACTGCTGGCTGCCCCTTCTCTCCATGCGATCGCGCTCAGTCTCTTTTCGCTCTTTTCATCAATCGTTGGCTTTGTCGAGTAGGCGGCAACGGTAAAGACGGGTGAGGCGAGCAGTGTGTGTGTTCGAGTACTTCCCACCTATGGCCGTCCCATGGAGAAAGCGTACAGCTGGGGCCGAATTAGAATCACGAGCGGGCATCCCGGGAACTTTCACCCCGGTGATGCGAAATCAATGCGTGCAAATGAGCGTATGTAGAGGCACCGGCAAGGTGACGCGCCATTTTATGTAATGCCAGCCCGCCAAAACCATTGGTATGGCCTAAACGAACACTGGAACACAGCAGCGTACATTCACAAGCGAGTGCTTGATCACACGCCGAGGAACACATCGCGCGCGTGCTTACACGCAGGGAAGCATGGCTCTCTTTGTGCAATGGATTGTGACAACAGGAATTTCATGGATCGGCCACAGCGGCCGTGGTTTTGTAAGGGACACAGCGAAGCAGCAGAGCGGCAAAGGGAATACAAGCATGTAACAACATAACTCACACGCGGGCGAGCGCGTGCTCACGGATTGTACACCATGTCACGAGTCGCTAGCACGCAGGGTAGAGGTCTCAAGTGTG